TGCCTTTTGGACTAAGACCTCTACATAATATATACGTAGTGCCTTTTGGACTAAGACCTCTACATAATATATACGTAGTGCCTTTTTGGACTAAGACCTCTACATATATACGTAGTGCCTTTTTGGACTAAGGCTTCGACATATTATATACGTAGTGTCTTTTTGGACTAAGGCTTTGACATAATATATACGTAGTGCCTTTTTGGACTAAGGCTTTGACATATTATATATGTGGTGTCTTTTTGGACTACGAATTCTACATATATACGTAGTGTCTTTTTGGACTACGAATTCTACATATATACGTAGTGTCTTTTTGGACTAAGACTTCGACATATTGTATACGTAATGGTTTTTTGGACTAAGACCTCGATATAATACATACGTAGTGTCTTTTTGGACTAAGAATTCTACATATATACGTAATGTCTTTTTGGACTAAGACCTCGACATATTATATACTTAATGGTTTTTTGGACTAAAACTTCTACATTTTTTATACCTAGTGTCTTTTTTGGGCTAAGACTTCTACATAGTATGTACGTAGTGTCTTTTTGGGCTAAGACTTCTACATATTATGTACACTTTGTAGATTTATGTTAATAATATCCTTAGCCTTTAGAGGAATACATACAGTCTAGGACAAAGAAAGCTTCAGATCAACATGCTATATAGTAAAAGACCAGGTTAGGACTATTTGATAATTGAACAGGTTATAGTAAAAGACCAGGTTAGAACTATTTGATAATTGAGCAGGTTATAGTAAAAGACCAGGTTAGGACTATTTGATAATTGAACAGGTTATAGTAAAAGACCAGGTTAGGACTATTTAATAATTGAACAGGTTATAGTAAAAGACTAGGTTAGGACTATTTGATAATTGAAAAGATTACATGTTGTACCTAACCAGATTGTCGCCTTGACCTAATCTCATTAAACTGATTTAAAGAATGTGTTAGTTTCCTTGTTACACATGCATATTTTACAGCAGGTTAAATATACACTTAGTGTAATCATAAGCTATTGTAATAATTAGGGAAAACAGAAACACCACGAGTAATATAATATGTGGTTAATTATCGTGTAAATATATTCAACTATAGAACCGTGGGCGTCATCTACTTTGGGAAGTTCAGCTACTACGGCTGTTTTGGATATGTAATATTTCAGGTCGACAGGATTCTCCGGTAAGGGAAAGTGGGAATAAGGAGAAAATGGAATGTGTTAATCCACCTGGAGCTGACATGACCAGGTGGTTAGGGCGCTCGACTCACAATCTGTGGGTCGTGGGATCGAATCCCCCATCCCGCCAAACACACTCTTCCTTTCAGTCGTGGGGGCGTTATAATGTGAGGGTCAATTCCACTATTCGTTAGTAAAAAAACTGCCCAGGAGTTGGCGGTGGGTGGTGATGACTAGCTGCTTTCTTTTTGTCTTTCACTGCTAAATTAGGGACGGTTAGCGCAGATAGCCCTCGTGTAGCTATGCGCGAAATTCAAAACAAGCTAAGCTAATCAATCTAACGGTGAATTTAAACAATCCTAACAGGTGATGTGATGACATACCTGGTAGTTAATTTAACGGTGAACTTAAACAATTCCAACAGGTGATGTGATGACATACCTGGTAGTTAATTTAACGGTGAACTTAAACAATTCCAACAGGTGATGTGATGACATACCTGGTAGTTAATTTAACGGTGAACTTAAACAATCCTAACAAGTATTGTGATGACATACCTGGTAGTTAATTTGACGCTAAAACAAACACACGTTATATTGATAATTCTGTCATTTAAAAAATTTTTCTTTCCAACCCGTATGCATCAAACATTAATTACCAATTTATAACTTGAGTTTGTATATTCGATCAAGTGTGTTTCTAATATTCCCATAAATTTTCATCTAATTAGGCTCAAAATTCTTACCATTATTGCTCATAAGGAGTCCTTTTATTACACAGAGTGTTTAGAAAGAGACACAAAAGGAATTTTTCACTTCAACCTAGAGACTAATTGTTCTAATTTTCTATTAATTAAAGACATTTCTATTTGTGCAAATAAGGAATCGGCCTATATCTTCAGAACGTATCTTTATTTGCCTATATCTTCAAATACGTTCTGAAGATATTTATTTTACTGACACTAGTAGATGATATAATTAAATACAATGTTGGAATCTTTCAGGATCATCCGCTCGTTTTCATTTTCAGCATTTTAATAATGCGGTTTGTTTACTGTGGGTCTTCAGCACGTGCGATATTTGTAACTTTATTTCTTAGCCTTCCCTCGAACTAAAAAGTTCGACATTTTACTAATATAGAGAAAAAATAATTGAGTCATGGTTTACCACAAATACAAATTTATTGTCACACATTATCATTTATTGTTATTATTATTATAATACATTGTCAATTATTATTACAGATTCGTATTTAATATTATACATTAAGAAACGAATATTTCACTTGAACTTACGAACAGAGATAGCAACAAGATCTGTTACAGATTATCAGGATTCGAGGATTGTTAAACCACCATTTCCGTCAGATCTAGTGATTATTGTGTTTACAGAAGAAAGGTTCGGGTTTACAACAGAGATAGCAACAAGATCTGTTACAG